TCTCCCCATTTTATAGATGAGAAAAATGAGGCACAGAGCTCAGCTATGAACTCTGGTACTATGTAGTGGAGTTGAGGTTGGAAACCAGGTGCCCCAAAGTCATGAACACCTTACCTGTTTCCTCTTTCAGAGACTACCAGGTCACCTGCTGTCTGAGACACTTGTGGATATTGACAGACATTGTAGATCTGCCCTCCACTCACCACCACGAAAAGCACAGTCCTGAGTGGTAAGTTGGCTAGTTAGGACCCTGAACGCATTCTGCAAAGAATGTTCTGTTGGTTCCATAGCAGCTGAGAGGACCCTGGGCTCTGGAACAGCCCCTGACCTTGTAGAAGTGTCTGGAGTCCATCTCTACTGTAAAGCGAACTGTCCAGGATTAATTTGAGCTGAACTGTGCCCAGGGAGCACATCTGTAGTTTGCTTTAGGAGCTGCAGGGTGTGGGGGGCAGGGGAGTCCAGGCCTGGGGTCTGGTAGGACGTGTGTGCTGCAGTGGGGTTGGGAGGCCTTTGGCAATTCTTAGAGACATGGGAAGAGGTCTGTAGTTTAGAGGTAGGGGGACAACCACCTACGAGCTGGGGTGTAGATGTAGGTGTGCCCACATCTAGGATGGCTTCTGTCCCACCAAGGCTGTCCTATGAAATATCCTAAGGTGAAATGCATGGGGTCTGCTTGACCTTCTGGACACTAGAGCTTGCGGCAGAGCAGGCTGTGGGAGGGGGTGTCCCCTCATGTTCTCAGCACTGGGCCGGCTGCTGCTGCTACGGCCACCACCCACCATTGCAAAAGGAAGTGAACTAGTGTGGAAGATTAAAAACAAAACACCCAAACAAAAAACAAGCAAAAAAAGCAAAACTCAAAGTTTTTGGACTGGAGAGATGGCTCAGCGGTTAAGAGCACTGGCTGCTCTTCCAGAGGTCCCTGGCTTGATTCCCAGCACCCACATGTTGGCTCACAATCTCCAGTCCCTCTTCTATCTGCCTTGGGCACTACATGCACATGTTGCACAAACATGTATGCAGGCAAGACACTCATACATGTAAAAGTAAATGAAGAAGACAACATCTCTACTAAGTTTCTACTGAATACGGAGTGCTTTAAAATTTTTATAAATACATACTATTTTATTTTTAATTTGCTTGTACAGATACGTACGTGTGAATACCGGTGCTGTAGGAGGCCAGGCCTTCCTGGAGCTGCCTGACATAGGTGCTAGGAATTGAACTCAGGTTCTCTGAAATGCTGTCTTAGCTGCTGGCCCTCTCTCTGCCCACTCATACATAATTGTATGTTGAATGTAACCACTTTCCCTTCCTCATCTCCCTCTCCTTTCCCATTAGTTTCTCTTGTTCCCTTAGACCAGTGGTTGTCAGTAGCAAAATTACAGTTATGAAGTGGCAATGAAAATAATTTTATGGTTGGGGTCACCACAACATGAAGAACTGTATTAAAGAGTCACAGCATTAGGAAGGTTGAGAACCACTGCCTTAGACAATCCCATTTCTCCTTGCATTACCATAGACACACATGCTTTTATGTGACTGTATAAAATCTAGGAACCACAGTGGAATATATAGAGCATCTGTCTTTGTGAGGCTGGCCTAATTTGCATAATGATCTCTGCGAATGTGGGCTGCTTTTGCACCCTTGCTAAGCCTTCTTGAGTCGATGGCACTAGGTCTCGGAGGTCTGCATAGGAGGCTTCGATGCAGCTCATGGGTTATTCTCTCTGCCTGGCAGTTCCTTACCACCTCACCCCTGCTATAAGCTGAGAGCTCCTCACTGCTGCCAGCCACCCTCCCTGGGTGTATAACATTTGATATGTGATATATATGCTTTCCAGTAAAAGACTCAAGGGGCCGGCAAGATGGTTTATGAGCAAAGCCCTTGTCATTCAAGGGTGATGACTTGAGTCTGATGTTCTTCTTTATTTTTTAAATTATTTTTTTTATTTTAGAGGCACTCATATTTACATATCTATCCCCCATCCCTTGCCCTCCCATGTTCCCCACCAACCCGCCCAATCCTCCCCTCTATCTCCTTCCCAGGGATAGTGAGGCCCTCCACAGGGGACCGTCAATGTCTGTCATATCATTTGGGGGAGGGCCTAGGCCCTCCTTGCTGTATCTGGGCTGCAATAGTCTCCCCCTTTGGGTAATGGTTTCCCAAAGTCCATTTGTACTCTGGGGATAAACACTGGCTCCACTGTTAGAGGTCCTATAGACTGTCTTGGCCTCCTAGCTGGCACCCACATTCAGAGGGCTTGGTTCAGTCCAATGCTGTTTCCCCAGCTTTACGAGTAGGGCCTCCATGCTCTCAGTAGGTCAGGGCAACTGATTCTGTGGGGTTTCTCCAGTGCCATCTTGTCTCTTTTGCTCATCCCTCCTCCCTCTCCGAAACTGGATTCCAGGAGTATGGTTCAGTGCTTAGCTGTGGGTGTCTGTTTCTGATTTGATCAGCTACTGGATGAAAACTCTCAAGCAGCAGGTGGAGGGTGGAGTCTGATGTTCTTATAAAAATATACCAGGCTCCACAAAGTCATCCCCTGACCTCCTCATGTGTGCTGTGGCACACGCACCACCCCGTCATAATCCTTAAGAAAGAGTCCAGTATTTCAAGCATCCCATGCCAAATAAACAGCAATCCCAGCCTATCCCAAGTGCCACTCCCTCCAGGCAATCTTGGGGACCTTTAGCTCCCTTGTGTCTCTGTCTTTGTGTCTACTAGTCTTAGTTTTTGACTTTCCAGTTCACTTATGTATGTCAGTCTTTAGCTCTCAGGGTGACACCCCCATACTTGGACACCTTTCACATTCCTGCCCATCTCTCCAGACCTCATTTTTCTCAAGTTCTTGTATATGTTTGTGCAGGGCAGGAGTGCAGGTGCTGTGGGGTTGGATCCCCTGGAGCTGGGGTCACTGGCAGTTGGGAGCCCCCTAACCTGGGTGCTGGGAATGGAATCGGGTCCTCGGGAAGAGCATAAGTGCTGAGCCATCTCTCCAGCTCCCTTACCATTTCCCAGGGACGAAAACACTCCTTCTAGGCTTTTGAACTGTTGGGCTTCTCTGCAGTTACCCTGCTGGGTAGCCACCACCAGGGCTCCCCACCACTAACATAGTGCCCGGCTGAGAAACACTCATGAATCCTCCCATTACTTTTCTCTCCTTTGTTATTTTGCTTTCTTGATTTATTTTTATTTATGTGCATATGCCACATTAAATGAGGGTGTCCATAGAGGCCAGAATTGGACATCGAATCCTTTGGAGTTGGAGGTTGAGAGCTGCTGGACATGGGTGCTGGGAACCGAACTCGGGTCCTCCACAAAATCCACAAGTGTTTTGAATGGCTGAGCCATCCCTCCAGTCCCAACACCCACGAGTCCTCCGTCACTTTCTTCTCTTAGTTATTTTTCAGTTTGAAAGTTCCTAGCTGCAAGTTGGACCTTCTATACTGCTGGAGTTTTTCCTGTTAGCCTCTTTTATGTCTACGCCCCCACCCCTAGACAGTCTCATGTAGCCCAGGATAGTCTCATACTTGGGAGGGAGAGGGAGAGGTGAGAGAGAGAGGGGAGGGAATAGGCCTGGCTGTCTGTCATCAGGCAAAGGGCTGATTTTTTACTGATTATTCTAGATTTCAGCAAAGGACTTTACCCAGCCTCTGGGCTGCATTTCTAGTTCAACTCTAGCCAGCAGCAAACATGTTAACCAGGCTCAGGGAAGGGCAGTCACTAGGCCATATGGGCCAAGAGTCCATTGGGTAGGTACGGGGAAGAGTGCGAAGGAGGTACAGACAGGGCTCACTACTCAGTCTTTTTTTTTTATTTTAAAAATTAATTTTTTACATTCCAATCCCAGTTCTCCCTCCCTCCTCTCCTCCTGTTCCCCCCACCCCATTTGATCCATGGAGAAGGTAAAGCCTCCCCTAGGAAGTCTACTAAGTCTGTCCCATCATTTAGTTGAAGCAGGACCAGGGCACCTCTCCACCCCCACACCCCTGAGTCTAGGTTGGGCAAGGTATCTCTCCATATAGAATGGGCTCCACTAAGTCAGTTTGTGCATTAGAGTTAGATCTTGGACCCACTGCCAGTGGCCTAATATATTGTCTCAGTCACACCACTGTCACCTATATTAAGGGAGTCTAGTTCTGTCTCCTGCAGGTTCCCCATCACTGCTCATCCTTCTTGCAGTTGGGGATTGAGCACTGGGGCTCCTACATGCTAGGTAAGCTCTCTACCACTGAGTTAGAACCCCAGCCCCCAGCCAATCATTTAACAATCCAGTACTTCTGAGACCCTTACTGAACTTCCTGGTCTCCCCAAGTTCTGCGTTTCCTAGGGAAGATGCAGAGCAGCGTGTGGGCAGGTTTGTGATTGGCTCCTCCCACTGGAATCTTGGGCATTGAGGAGTCTGACAATGAATGCATCTTACTGTGCCACCTTTTTAGTTTTCCAAGCCACTCTCATCCCTTCCTATCCTTTTGTCTTTGCAGTTTAATCCATTTTCATTCCTTTAGGTTGTGTTGAGTGGGACAGAAGAAATGCTTCGTGTATCTAGTCAATGGCATGTAGCCAGGAGTCAGTGCCTATTTAGAAAACATTTCTGTACAGGTCTGTGGAACCCATTTTTTTAAACTAGTTTTTTTTGCATAGATGGGCTTGCTTTAGTGTTAAGAGTTGCACTGAGTCTTGATCTAGCTGGTTTCTCTTACCCAGGCTTCAGGAAGTGTTTCAGTGAATTAGCAGTACATTTAAAATTTTTAGCTGGACGTTGGTGGCGCATGCCTTTAATCCCAGCACTCGGGAGGCAGAGGAATCTCTGTGAGTTTGAGATCAGCCTGGTCTACAAGAGTGAGTTCCATGACAGCCTCCAAAGCCACAGGGAAACCCTGTCTAGAACACTGCCCCCCCCCAATTTTTATTTTTTTATTTTAATCCATCACTGCTATCCCTAAACAGCTTGGAATGCGGCGAATGTGGTCTTTGGATCAAGAGTGGCTCCATGAAAATTCTCATGTTGATTATTTTAATCCTGAAGCATTACATGTCACAGGGAAACTGAGAGTTTCTTTGTCTTCTGCCCACAGCAAGGGCACAAGGCTAACAGTGGTGGCCTTGGAGAGAAAACACTCCAAGGATAAAGGGATGGTGGTGGGGAAGGATGGAACTAGACTAAGAGGGAAGGAAGGACATAGACACATACCCCCACCCACCCCAGGGAAGGGCTTTCTAGAAGCATTTATAGTTCATTTTTCATGCCTTCTTTGGTTTGAGAATGAGAAACTTCCAGGCTGGGTCAGTGAACATGAGACAGGGTAGGAGCCTTGTTTTCCATTGAAGAACAAAAAGTGTTTTAATATCAGGGGAGCTATGTGCCCAGGCTGAGCAAAAACCTGGAGGCCAACAGGGGCTTCAGGGAAACCTCAAAGCTGGGTTAAACCCAGCTCCTAGGCTGGCCTAGGGCAGATAGGGCACTGCTCCACACTGAGGGCTCGCTCAGCTTTGCAGGGTCATACTCAGGGTTAGATTTCTTCTCACCATTAGCACAAAGAAAGCCCTGGGTGGCCCCACTGAGATTTCAGTGCATATAGGAAGGCCCTCTCAGCCCAACCCAAGACCCAAGCAAATCAAACATGGGGATGACTGGGGTGGGTGGGTAGGACAATAAATAAAGGCGGTGGCGGGGGGACTGAGTGAGGTGGTAGAAAAAGAGGCTTTCTGCCTAGGAGGGTGCAGCAAGGCATTAGGTGGGGACAAGCACTCGGTCCCCAAACACTGGTTTGTTGAGTTGGAGGTCGAGGCCATCAGGGTGCTTGCGAGACCTCAAGGACCTTCAGCAAGGAGTCAGGGAGCCTTGTGTTCTCTCCCCGAATCTGCCTCTGGAGGGTCTGCCTCAGCCTAGGGATGCCAGGTGGTCACATCAGCAGCGGGGAGTTGTCCATGTATGTCTTTTACCTTTGGCAGAGAGAGAAAAAAGACCGCTGAATAGTGAGTGGGGGTGGCTTCCTCCCTAGTGAGTGACAAGCCAGCTTCGGGATGAACTAGAGGTGAGGGCAGGGCCTTCCTGAGTCCAGGGTGAGCCTGCATATTAACCTGCACTGTCCACAGGCTTGTTATCTGCACACCCATGCTTCACAGTTTGTCTGTCCAAACCTAGGTTGTCTTCAAGACAGTGACCTTTTGGCACTGCATAGGTTCACTGCTGGTGTGCCAAACTCAGTGTTGGGGGCTGGGACTAGATAAATCCTAGAGGACTGACTGCAGGAGGCTGTAGAGAGGGGACAGGGGCCACTCCCCATGCCTGCCTACTGCTGTCTCCCTCTCGGTACCCCATGGTTTTGGAGGAACCATGGAACCGGGAATGCGATGGTTAGTGGAGTGTACACAGGCTACTTGAGGGAGACCCCGAGGGGCACATGAGATGCTGTTTCATGTATGCGCCTGTGGGCTGTTGGCCAGGTTTGCCCAGCCTAGCTGGGGCTGGTCTTTAAAGAAGTCGGTGCCTTCTCTGGGTTGAGAATGAGAAGCACCCCACATCGTGATGCTCCCATGCTGGGCCAGTGAGTGCAAGGCAGGGTGATGGCATTGTTTTCTACACCTGTTTCATGTGTACACCAAGGCTTGAGAAAGCCAGCCTTGGAGGTGGAGGGCTCTGGAGAATAAGGACAGACCCACTCCACTGTTCCCAAGCCAGGCTCAGTGAGGACTGCCTGCAGCTGTTAGGAGCAAGGGAAGACTGACAAGGGACCGGAGCAGAAGATGGTAGCACCATTCTGAGTCCCTCTGGTCAGGGCTGGGTCTGGCTGACCTTTGTTCTCCACTGCCTGGCGTGGAGCTCAGTAAACATGAAGAATTGAAAATGTCATCGGCCACTAGGGGAAGGAGGAGGAGGGGATGAAGACGCTGCTGAAAATGCAGAGCCAAGGCAGTACTCACCGGACACCCTGGGCTCAGGCCGGGGTGGGTTGTCCCCCTGTGGGTCTGAGGCACCTGCCCCAGTCTCACTGGCCAGGCTGCTCTGGCTGCCCGAGAGATGGCTGGGTGAGCATGCAGGCCCCATCCTGGGCAACTCCATGCTGCCACCTGCAAGAGATGTGTGTGAATGGGAACAGAGATGTAACTGGGCTCTCTAGCAAAGAGCCAGCTAAATTTTATCTGGAGTTGTGGACAGTAACTGTGGACTGTCACCCCAGCAGTGCTCACCTACATGCCTGCCTGTTCTAGCCAGACCACTAACCTTTGCTGATTGACGCAAGACACACTAGAGCAACAGAATGGGCTTTTTCTCTAAGTAGCAAATTACTGATAAGAATATTGACAATTAGAAGCTTTTCCTACCTTCACAGAGTGAGGGGTGGGCAAAGGGAATGTGTGTGTCTGGTAACGCAGTGAGAGAGAGGCGGTATTAAGGTAGAACTTGCTGCCTGTACTACTGAAGACTCGAGTGTGTGTGTGGGGGGGTCAGGGAGGGGTTGTGTGTGAGTGTTGAAACAGGAATGGGTGGGGAGAGACCTTGAGGGAGATGAGAAATGGGTTAAAACAATGCAGCTTCTATGAAAGCATTAAAGGGGCTAGAGAAATGGCTCAGTGGACAAAGGTGCTTGCTGACAAGCCTGTCACCCTGGGTTTGATCCCCAGACCCACATGGTGGAAGGAGAGAACTGACTCCCATAAGTTGTCCTATGGCCTCCACACATGTGCTGTGGCCGCCAAGCCAATAAATGAAAACAATAAAACTAACTGGAAGGAGGAAGGTAGTGGGGGGAGAGAACAGATGAGATATGTATGAAGATGACATGATTATTCAAGAGTGTGCTACCCAGCTGAGAGTTGGTGTGCAGGGAGGAGACCGGCTGTCATGTAGAAGGAGGAGGGAGAATCCCATCCTGAAACCAAGGTTGGTAGGCAATGTGTACAACATTGTCCCGGTGGAACATCTTGGGGCTGGTGGTGCCAAGTCCAGGACTGGTTTTTGCCTCCTGCCTCATCTCCCTGATACTGACCACTTGTGAGACTATTAAGGAGGAGTCTGAAGGCACATCGGGGCTCTAAGGGAAAGAGCAATATAGTCAACTAGTAATGCCTGCCATGGCACTGGACGGAGAGGTGGTAGTATGTGTGCCAGGCATTGGCCACTTCTGACTTAGCCCAGATTTTCGTTCCCAACAAGGATTCCTGCCATATCATTTTTTGGCCTGAGGGAGGTCTTAGCCACAGGAGAGCACTGCAAGGCATTTTATTCCAGTTTGGTGCAGATATTGTTTTTTTCCAGACAGGGTTTCTCTGTGTAACAGTCTTGGCTGTTCTGAAACTCGCTCTGCAGACCAGGCTGGCCTCAAACTCACAAAGATCCACCTGTCTCTGCCTCCTGAGTGCTGGGATTAAAGGTGTGCACCACCGCCTGGCTTGGGGCAGACACTGTAAGGCTCACTCTTTACACACCAAAATCAGCCTCCCTGAAACTTTCTTCAAAGGTCCTAGCTCTAACCTAAGAGGACAAAGGAAGCTGGTGCTTTTCTCAGAAGGCCCTTCTTGTGTTGAAGAGATGGAAGCCTTCCACTTTCCTTTCCTCTCTGCTCCTAACTCATCCCTCCTCCCCCTTAACCTATGTCAGGACACACAAAATGTGCTCCACCTGAGAAGGGACTTTGAAGATGGCCTGCTCCATCATTTGTGTTGAAGAGTGATAGTCCCTGTTGGGGACTCTATGTACAGCCAAAGGAACTGTACCTGACTTCCACATCCCTTTGATGTTCACAAGGTAAACTGAGCAGTGCTGACCCCAGGGTGTTTCCTAGAAAGAGTATACGAGGGAGTGGCCCTGATCCCCCACCTCTTGTCAGCCCTGCCCTCCTTCCTTATCCCTCACATACAGGAGCCTGGCCTCCCTGGTTCTGCAGAGCCTTCAGACTCACTCCTTCCTATGGACCTAGGGACACTTTCCAGACACCAGTGGAGAAGCTGCCACCAAAGATACCAAAAAGCCAACCAGCATCTCTGGCAGCAAACAGCTGACTTTCCACACTTACCAGCATCCCCTCTAGGCTTGTCACCTTTTGTGTCCTTGACCACGGTGGGTGTGGCACTGTCCTCCAGGCTGGAGGAGCTGAGGTCCGAGTCACTGTCACTGGAAACCACTGGAACAGATAAGAGCAGAGGAGGTCATGATTTTGTACTGCTTGGACAGAGTGGGCCAGGGTAGGCCTCCCTCCTGCCACCTGCCACCATAGAGTGGCCTAGAATTTCAGTTAGCCCCTTTCTCTGGGGCATGAAAAGCAATGGTGTGGGGAACAGGAATTCCTTGCCACCAGCTGAGGATGTGAGACCTGGTTTGAAGAGGCAGACATGGACCCCACATGCCTGGCACTGTTAGGGAAGGCTTGTCCCTTAGCCAGCTGTCTCCTGCATCACGGCCTACCTGTGGACTGGAGGCCTTTTGCTTGGTAGGAGTGGGTGACCACCTTTGATGTTGGCACAGGGACTCTGAGGCCTCTGTCTGGCCACACTAAACAGCAAGGCCATGGCTTCATGCACAAGACACTTACCACAGTTGACTTCAGGCAGCAATCACAGGCTTTTACATACATTAAACTCACAAAAGCTTCAGAATGGGAGGGAATAGCCCTGCTCCATTACACAGGCAGGAGACTGGGGCATGTGCTTGTGGCTGCGGTTCCTAACCACTTAACTCTCCATCAGGGAGCCAGCAGGAGCCGGCCTGGGCCCTCATCAGCCATGCACAGTGGGGTGTCATGAACCACAAGGAACAAGGGCTCACTGGGAGCTCTCAACGAACACCCTCTTTTCTGCACCCGACACCGTATTTGGCTGGTTCATCGACCGTGGGCGTCGTAATACAGGATATATTCATCCTTCAAACATTCTATTTTAATTTTAAGCAGGGATGTACATCTGTGTGCCAGCCTTCTAAGCCTGGATGCTTCTGAGTACCAACCCATGTGGCCCAACCTGTACCATGGCCTGTGACTCTGGTTCATGTTCTTGTCACTGGAGCTTAAGGACCGTGGCAAATAAGACCTGACAGCAGGATCTTCCTAGATTTTTCCATATATTCCTTCTGCTTTTTACAGTTGTCCTGCCTACGCCTAATTCAGTAGATTTAAAAAATTAAAGAAAAAAAGGCAAGTTGCTTCTTCAAGTTTTACAAAACCTTGCTTTTAATGAAACAGCTCTGGCCTCTTTTTCTCTCTTCATTAATTTACATAGCATGTAACAAAGTGATAACAAAGATAAGTAGGTGTGGGGTCAAAGGTAAACAGCTCTCTCACACATGACTGTCTCAGGGAGGGTCACCTGCAGAGGGTGCAGCTTTCCTTTGACATGCCAAGTGCTGGTTTGGGAGGCATCAGGGTGGGCTGAGGGCTTCACAAAGCCCTTCACTAGGCTCTCAGACTTCCTCCTCCCAACTAGACTCGGGAGCCATGGCTACCAGCTAAGCCACCAAGCTCTTTCTGAGGCTGTCTTTTGAGATGGCAATGAGGCACCACAGAAGTGCTGGTCAGTTAGGGAAATTCTCTGTGGGAACAAGTGGAGGAAATGGGCCTTCTCCCTGGATCAAAAGCCTTCTAGAAAGTCTGTGTCTTAGTGTATGCCACCTTCTGGCTGAGGGACTTGGGTCACAAAAGCAAGTAGCCAAAGTTGGAGCTAACTAAATTCAGAGATTATTAATAGGCAGTACACAGTAGGTGCTTCATGAAGGTTTGATAGCCAGCTCGCCTCGGTTTGCCTATCCTGTCAGTGTTACCACCAAAATGGACTTTTTTTTTCCTTTTGAGACAGGATAAATTGCTTAAATTGCTATGTAGTTAAGGATGATTTTGAATTTCTGATGCACCTGCCTCTACCACTTGCATGCTGGTAATTTGGGTACGTACCATCATGCCTAGGTTTGTTTGCTTAAAGATTTTTATTTTTTAGTTGGTGAGTGTGATGTCAGTGCAGGTATATGCACGTGAGTGCAGGTGCCCATGGAGCCCAGAGGCCTTGGGTGAAGCTGGAGTTCTAGAAGGTTGTGAGCCACCTGATAGGGGTATGGGACTGAACTTGGGTCCTCTACAAGAGCAGTATGCAGGCTTAACCCTGGGCCATCTCTCCAGCCTGTACCAGGCCAAGTTTTAAGATGCTGGGGCCCATACTCAGGTCTTTGTGCATGCCAGGCAAGCACCCACCAACTGGACACTTTCCAGCCCCCTCCTTCAGGAGATGTTGACTCTGTCACCTCCTTACCATCATCATTAGACTAACTTCCTCCATCCAAGACCCTTCCTCTTCCCACCAGGATGACTGTAATAGTGACTGCTCCTGTCAACTCTCCTTCTGCACTGTTGGGGTGTTCCAGCCAATACAGATCTGTTGAAAGGCTCCCATCATCAAGAGGACCAAGCCTACACACCCCTGTCCACCAAGAGGGGGGTTGTGTGCATTTGTGAGCGATGAATATGTGACTATCTCTGGCCTTTCTCCCTCTGCTCCAGCCTCTTACCTTTTTTCTGGTTCTCTCTCACACATGCCACTGGCAAGACTTCTGATTTGGCCTTTTTGGACAGAACCAAGAGGAAGTGGGGATGGAGGGGGATGGGGGTGGGTTCATGTGCCCCTTCATGGTCCATGAGAATTGTAGGTAAGAACCTGACTTACATTGTGGTTCCTTTTCAGGTCTGAACATGAATCCACAGAGATCAACCCACAGGCACCATCAGTGCTGCAAACATCGCTGGGCTGAGTAAACACTGACCCTACGGGGCCCCAGACACAGGAGGTAGGAGGTGGTGGGCAGGAAGTGGGGTTGCTGTGAAGACCCCTGGAGCAAGCAGAGCAATAAAGGACCACAGGATGGGAGCTAGCTAATGCTAGTGGGGTAGTAGAGAGAGTACCTATGAGGAGTCAGTGACTGACCTCTACAGTGGTCTCTCCATCTCTCTGGCAGAGACATTTGTGCATGATCTGTCAATCAATGCTTCCTGACCTGGAATATTGCATCCTCCCTGGGGTTGATCTGGGGCTTTGCAGTTAGGAGCTGGGCTGGGTACAGGGCTCTGAGATGCTGAGTGACACCTGCAATGGACAGGTACCAAGGGACGGTGGGGTTGAATGTCCCAGGAGTTGGTTATGGTGTCCTCCCTTGCATTCTGTCATCAATTGTCCATGTTCCAAGAGTGGTCTTGGAATCAGGCTCAAGTTGCTAGATAGGATTTATGGAGAGTTGTATATCTTGTCCAAAACAGTGCAGCCCTGGAGGTGGGGAGAGGGTGCCTATCACCTGGTCCCCAAGGACACCCATGCTGTACAAGGGCTAAAAGAAATCACAGAAACAAATCCCAAAAGCTCCCCCAGTTACTCCCATCTGACTCATTGTTTCCTGTGATAGAGCCCAAAGGGTTCAGCCATGGAAAGGGGGAACAGCAGCCAGTGACAACTGACCTCACAATGGGATCACAGCTGGGACCACCCATCCGTCCTAGAGACTCATTTCTTTCAGACATACTGCCCCCTTACCTGGCTTCTCTGCTCTTTCTACCCAGGGTTTTAAGCTGGACCGGGCTTTGATATCGTGTGTGTGTGTGTGTGTGTGTGTGTGTGCGCCCGCGCACCAGCACGGGCACACACACAGAAGCCTGAGGTTGGCATTGGGTGTCATCTTCTATCACCTTCTACCTCTTTTTTGAGACTTGTTGGCCAGGAGCTTATCAATTTAGCAAGACTACGAAGCCTGTAAGCGCCAGGACCTACCATCTCTGCCTTCCCAGTGCTAGGTTTACAGGTATGCACTGCTGTGTCAGCTTTTCACATGGGTGCCGGGCAGCAGAACTCAGGGTCCTCAGGGGTGTGCAGTCATGTGCCCAGCCCTGTGCATGGGGGTTTTAAGCTGGGGCTAAGCTGTAGCCATCAGGTCTTTGTGCTGAAGACTCAAATCCCACCTCCTATCTGCTCTTGGAAAGCTAAAGGCGGCAGTATTGGCCAGTGGCTGGCCACTTACAGTCACTGTGGAAAGAGACCCAGAAGAGGCTACGTATACCTGGGTCTCACAAATAATACCCAAGTAGTCATGGCTTCTTCCAGTGGTCAAGGAAGCAGCCTTCTCTTTTTCCTGTTCCCCAAAAGACCAAACCTTGGGTAATTTGCCACCCGAGTACCAATGCTGCTTTCCCTCCAAACGGTGGATAGGACTATAAATCTTCCAGGGTCTAAATGAAGCTTTTAGGCTCATAAATCTGTGGCCTCTGCTCTTCTATCCTCTACAAGATGATGATAGGAGTGGCTAAGGGCCAGATGTAGGACAGGTTGGGGGATAGTTTGTATTCTGCTATGCTTTGGCTTTCCGACAGAAGATAGGAAAACCCTGGGAGACACTCACCGGTCTGAGAGCCTGTGGGAGGTCTTCTCACCCACACTCACAGGGCTCTACCACAAGGAAGGAGGGGGAGGCTCCTATCTTGGTTTCCTTCATGACCATCTGACTTCTTGTTCCACTTGCTGGAGACCCTGGCATCCCTGAGATTTTCCCATCATGCTGGGCCCTCATCCTCAGCAGTGGATGGGCAGCTTAGAGCCAGCCAGGCCTGTTTCTCTGGGGATGGGCAGTTTTATTTTATTTTTTTTCCCTCTAGCTCATTCTTGGATGGATTTGCAATTTGACTGTCACCATGGAAACTCTTGAGTTTTGGTACATGAGGCAGGGTGTGTGTGTGTGTGTGTGTGTGTGGGAACTCTTCCTTTTTGGAAAATGTCTCTTGGATGTCTCACAGGACACATGTGGCAGCTGCTGTCCTGTCAAGGCAACTAGCTGGGATTGCTCAGGGGACAGGGATGGGGGCCTGGGACCCTGTCTCCAGGCTCTGCTTAGCTATTACCTCTCTCCACGCACCTCTTGTAGATTCATGGCAAAAACCCAAGAGACTGACCCAGCAGCTACCTGGGTGTGAGGTCAGCCCAGTAGCAGACAAGTGACTGATGTTGTGCTCTGATGGAAAGGTCCTATCTGGGTCACACCACGTCCACCTGCCCGGTGCAAAGGATGAGACAGGAGGTGAGCCTGAGAGACCTTTGGGAGTAGTGGCTGTTCTGCTCCAAGGAGCCTAAAGTCTCCAGAAGCTATGGGAGTTAGAAGTAGGGAGAT